TTTGTATAATTGGTCCCTCGTAGTTTAACAAAAAAAAAAATCTTTTTTTTATTCACAGCTGTCAAAATTACCAACTCTCATCACATTCACTGAAATCTATCAACCCGGCCTTTACTTCTTTACCCCAAAATTTTTCCTTGCCTCTTTTTCCCTAACTCCTTTTCCTCCCTCCCCCCAGACAAGCCGAACTGCCGCGCGTGCGACACCGTTCTGGCGGAGCTGGAGAACATCGACGACGAGTGTGACGTGTACGGCATCCACATGGTCAAGATCCAGGACACGCAGCTGGCTAAGCGCTACGGCATCAAGACGCTCCCCGCGCTCATCTACTTCCGCAATGGCAACCCGCTCATTTTTGACGGTCAGTGGAACGTTACTCTGTCTCTGGGAGGAGGGAGAGGGAGAGGGAGGGAAAGCAGAAGGGGAGGGACAGGAAAGGGAGGGACAGGAAGGGAAGGGGAGGGACAGGAAGGGAATGGGATTGGGGAGCAGGAAGGAATAGGGTGAAGGGAAGGGAAGGGATAGTAAGGTAAGGGAACGAAAGAGAAGGGGTCGAAGGGAAAGGAAAGGGAAGAGGGTGGGAGAGAAAATGGATAGGGAAGGGAAGGTAAAAGGGGTGAATAAAGAGAAGGAAAAGGAAGGAAAGGTCAAAAGAAGGGAAAGGAGGAGATGAAGGAAAGGAAGAGAGGATGAGAGTGAGCAGAGAGGGGAAAGATAATCATGTTATATTTCTGCAGGTTTTTCTTTGAGGGGATGAAGTGTGTGTGTGTGTGTGTGTGTTTGTTGTTTAGCTGATGCTACACTAGTCTGAAATAAATATATGTGCAATTGCAAGCTATGATAATAGGCAAACAAAGACCTTTCAATCTTATTGTTTTTTCATGACAGAATAGACAATTTAAAAATGTCTTCTCTTAAGTCAAGAAAATTGATTAGGTTTATTGAAAAGAGAACATTATTTCAACTCGTTCTTATCTTGTCTCATATGCAATTTATTTCAGATTCATAATCTATTATTTCTTTCAGCTGCTTTAAGTATTTCTGACCAGAAGAATATTAATATCTAGTCAGCAAGATATCTATGCTCGTCCCAGGACTGTCAGAATAGAAATGACTGTCTATTGTTTCAATTCGCGGAGTAAATAAATTGGAAGACGTTCCTCAGTACAGAAGACAGTGAATATATATCGCTGGCAATAACCAGAAGAAAAAAAAAGAAAAAGAAAAAAGAAAAAAATATACAGATGTGTAAATATATATATATATATATATATATATATATATATATATATATATATATATATATATATATATATATATATATATATATATATTAAATATATATATATATATATATATATATATATATATATATATATATATATATATATATATATATATATACATATATATATATATATATATATATATATATATATATATATATATATATATATATATATACATACATATATATATATATATATATATATATATATATATATATATATATACATACATATATATATATATATATATATATATATATATATATATATATATATATATATATGTATATATAATTTCTGTAACGAATAATTTCAAAACTATTTAATCATATTTTTAACTGCCTTTTGTATATATTTCCATAAAAAAATGAATCTTCAAGCAATCCCCTTCCGAATTCCTTTCTGAAAAAAATGTCCCTAATAGAATAAATACATCTCAGAGATTAAAAAACAAACTTGGAGAACGAGAGCACGTAGAAGGCATGATGTAATCCACAGTGTAAAGACACAAGCCACGTAACCCCGAGGCTGTAAACAGAGGCTCATAAATCCTGTTCCTCACAACACACAATACCCTTTCGGCACCCAGAAAAATAGTGAACACAAGACTTCATCTTTTATGACAGTTTTCTTTTCTTTTCTTTTCTTTTTTTGTAAATGTAGAATGGCGTTAAGAAGCTAGAGAATTGATGTATATTTTTTTTCTTTTAGAGAATTGCATATAGTTGGTCTGAAAAAAAGAAAGCATAAGATGTCTGCACGAGATGGATCGATTTTTTTTTTTCGTAGGCTTGAGTCTTATTTTTTTTGATAGATTTATTTATACATCCTTTATCAATATATCCTCCACTTTATCATTCGCTGTTTTCTCTTTTCTCCTTTCATTGTTCTATCTTATCATTGTTTTTTTCATAAATTACTCCTCAATACGATCCAAAAACATTGTCTTACACCTAAGTACATGTATATTTAAATGTGCATATGTATAAGCATGCCAGTACCCAGTGTCCAAACCACTTCACTGTTCACCCAATGGTTCATTTTTTCCCATTACTACTAAATTATAGTGACCATAAATTTACTGCGAACGAAACAATATAAACATAAATTGTATAATGAGTCTAAATTCTGGACGTTGAAGAAGACCTGGAGACAAAGTTACGAAGCCAAATAACTTAACGACCGTTTCCCCCAGATAACCTCTTTGACGAAGATGGTCTCTTTGATTGGTTTACTGACGACGCAAATCGAGAGCTCGATGATGAGATCGAAGACATTAACAGCAATATGTTGGATACAGTATTAAACGAAGAAAATTTTCTCGCTGTCTTGTTCATAAGTAAGCCAAGTGTGTGGCCCCTTCCTTGGTTCCATTTTTTCATTGGTCCCTCCTAAAAAGCCTCCAAACCCCGTTTTCTATTTTTCTTTTCTTTTCTTTTATCCTTCACTGATACGTTACATTGTTTTCTTCAGATGATCTCGTCTCAGTGGGCACAGATGTGCTGGAATGGCTCTCTGATGAGGAAACACGTAAATTGGATGATGATATCGAGGAAGTCAATGCGAATATGCTTGACTTTATAATAACGACTAATCCATACGTTGCTGTTATATTTTCGGGTAAAATTTGCTTCTGAAGCAAAAATGTGGATTGAGAAGAATGACCCCCCCCCCTCACCCCCTCAATTAAGCAACACCTGATCCCCAGAGAAGAAAAGAAAGCAAGGCCATACCATGTTATGTCGTCCCCATCACCTTTTTATACCGAACCGCAACACATTTTGATGTTCAACCATCCCGTGCCATTTTTCGTTCTTTATCGAAACATAACACATACTTTTGAAGAAAAAAAATTACCCGCCCCCCATTTTTATTCATCCTGTCTTCCCGCAACGCATGAAAACATCTTTTTTGTTTTCATCTGCTTGTTCTTTTCCCACCTGGACGTCGCCATGTGACCCATTTCCACCGTCCACCTTTTCCCCAGGTGATCTGAGCGTGGAGTCGAGTGTCTACGAGTGGCTAATTGATGATGACAATCGCGAATTGCAAGGCACTATTGAGGAAGTCAATAGGGCTATGCTCAAACGCTTAATTGAATATAACCCGTTTGTCGCTGTCGTCTTTATAAGTAAGAAGGGATATATTCAACGAAGAAGGATGTCTATGTAATGTTTGGCGGCTACACCCTTGAACTGATACGCATACAGTAGTATTTTTTTTCTGTAGTCTAAACAAAGTAAAAATGCGTAGAGGGATTTATAAAGGCTTTGGAAAAGACAAGAAGATCCATGCACATATTTTCACTTGAGTTTTCCCTTACCAATTCCGTTAGCATGTTGTGGACTGAGGTTTTCCCGTTGAGTTTGATGCCGTTTCCTTGTGTGATGGATGGGCATGTTCGCCTTTTTTATTTGCCTCTTTTGATACTTACGAGTCTCCAGAATTATTATTTGATTCTATTTACACCAAACCGCTCAACTACTCCCTTCGAACCGAGGACACAGCATGTATTTTAGTTTACCCACCACTGTTCACACCCCGTTTCCCATTTTCTCATTCAGGTGAAATAAAGAGTGGGAATTTTCTCTTGGAATGGTTGAGTGACGATGACAATCGGGAATTAGTTGACGAAATTGAGCACGTAAACCCTGCCATGCTGGACCAACTTGTTGCACAGTCGACCTATTTGGCCGCCTTGTTTTGTGAGTACTTGAAAAAAAAGTATCTTTGCATACCATTCGCTCTCAGCTGAAGTAAACGGTACACGCTTCTTTGCAGACCTTCCTTATATAAATTCCGTGCTCTCCCCTTTTCCGAAATAAAGGAATAAATCATCTTACCTTCCGTGTGAAATGCATGACGTTCATTCACAGCATGGCATTTTAGACTTTTCCACCTTTGGTTTTAGCCCAAAATTCATTCCTATTTTGTATGTCATCAACTTTTCAGGTTCTGCAAATGGCAGAGCTGCGTATGTGTTTCCATTTTTTTTTCTTTACGTTTATTTTACCCGCCGCCATGTTTTTATTTTAAGTAAATGGCAGTGTATCTAAAATCCCTCCACACATTATCCTAAAATCCCTAAAACCCAATAACTGTTATCTAACCTCACACTTTTTGTTCACGCAATCCTTTTCCTTAACCTCCCCATAAAAAAAAAAAAAAAAATGCTGGGATTCACGATTTCTTTTTTTGCCATTCCGTTATTTGCTTTTAATTTGACAGTTTATTTGCTATTTTTTGTTTTGTTCTTTTTTATGTTATATAGGAGATATGCAGAACGAGGTTAGTGTGCTGGAATGGCTGACTGATGATGAGAACCGGGAATTGGAAGGAGAAATCGAGGCTGTAAATGTTAGGATGCTAAAGCGCCTCATGGATGAGTCTCCCTTCATTGCCGCTTACTTCTGTAAGTAAAGAAAACGAGAGATCATACAGATATTGGAGAAATATCACCAACATAAAACTAAAACTAAAAAAAAAGAAAAAAAACGTTTTCTCGTATTGTTCCGTGCAAGAAAGGGAGAAGCTAAAAGCACCTCTCGCTCGTTCTCAATTTAGATGGCTCGCTGTCACAATGTATCGACAAGACCTGACGAGTGAAAAGGGGCTTGCCAATCTGGTGGTTGTGGTTCAGTCTTATTCGTCTTACCTTTCTTCCTCTTCTTTTTCATTGACTACTTCTATCTCTTTATTTTCAAGTGTCTT